GATTATTTTTTATAGCATGCTTTGACCATGTTGGGATTTGTTTTTACTATTGTTTATGTTTCGTTCAGAATCCCCCTGTAGCGGGACGGGCCCGACTGAACCCTATCCTCCCTTCTCTCACGTCCAGCCTATGGTCGGGGGCGGCAAAGAGGGGGGTAATGACTAGGGGGGGGGATATCATGGCGGGGGCCATGGCATCTCCCCAGATTTCATGGCGCCTCTCCTTATTCCATTGCGTCCCTGGCCCCCGCGCTGGGCCGCGCACATGCCGCCGGTCATGCTTTGCCCCCCCCCCCCCTCTTGGACCCCCCCTCTCTGCCGCTCCCGGTATGGCAGTGGTGGAGCCTCGACTCGGCCGGGCACCCCCCTGCCCCTGGGGCCCTGTGGGCACCGGGGCCGACCGACCACGGGCCCAGCGCCACGAGACGGCCGTGGAGGACGCGGTGGCCGGGCAGAGGCGCGCGGGCCCCCCCCCTCCCTGGGCCGCCGCGCTCCTCGCCCAGCGAGGAGGGGGAGGAGGAACGAGGAGGAGGGAGGAGGAGCGAGGAGGAGGGAGGAGGAGGGAGGAGGAGGGAGGAGGAGGAAGCAGAGGAGGAGGACGGCAGAGGGAGGAGGGAGGAGCGGAAGGAAGAGGAGGAGTGGGGAGGAGGAGGAGGAGGAGGATGAGAGGAGGAGCATAAGGAGGAGGAGGAGGAGGAGGAGGAGGAGAGGAGGAGGAGGAGGAGGGAGGAGGAGGAGGAGGAGGAGAGGAGGAGGGAGGAGGAGGAGGAGAGGAGGAAGGGAGGAGGAGGAGGAGGAGGTAGGAGGAGAGGGAGGAGGAGGAGGAGGATAGGGCGGAGGAGGAGGATAGGGAGGAGGAGGAGGAGGAGGAGGAGGAGGAGGAGGAGGAGGATAGGGAGGAGGAGGAGGAGGAGGAGGAGGAGGAGGAGGAGGAGGAGGAGGAGGAGGAGGAGGAGGGAGGAGGAGGGAGGAGGAGAAGAAAGATCGACGAGGATCGAGGAGGATTGGGGAGGATGCCTGCAAGGTTCGATGCAGGGTACGGCTGCTCGCAAGGTTTCTCCGTGCCTCAGTGGACTTCGCTTGTTGAATTGTGGCCCCCCTGCATCTCTGTCATCCAGACCTGTTAGCAGCGCAACGTGCTGCCATTGTGTTCAAGTCGGTGTATCACTAACGCACGTTAGTTGTTCACGAGCGTTGCGAGCCTCGAGCTGAAAGTCCGATCAGCGTCAAAGAAAACCAAGGAAGTATATTTTGAGGGGAAGCCCTGAGATACGGGCGTCTCGTTGTAATTATTTCCCCCGATTTGAGGGCAAGGGGCCCTCACATATCGATTCGATTTGAAAATGGCTGCAGGGCAGATGGGGTCTAGAGTAGGGCTGTGGTTGTGGTTTTCGTGGTGCTGCATTTATCCGAACGTCGGACCTCAGGGAAGGAGTGCCGATGGAGAGGAGGAGGAGGAGGAGGGAACATTAAATCGCTCCAGGGCCTTTCGGAACCCTCTCAGAGAGCGTCACGGATCGCTCTGACGAGGCCGCGGTGCCCGATGCATCCCTCCGAGCCGCTATGCTTCGGAGATCCCGATTTCTCTTGCTTCGATGCTGTCCCTGTTTTAGAATCGTTTTACGTGAGAGAGGATCGGGAAGGTGCAGGGATGACGCGGAGAGGAGACGGAATGGGGATCGACGGGGTGAAGGAGGATCGAAGAGGAGAAGAAGGATCGAGGAGGAGGAGGAGGACGCTCCTCCTCCCCCTCGTCCTCCCCCTCCTCCTCCTCCCTCCTCCTCCTCCCCCTTCTCTTTCTTTGTTTCTCCTCCCTCCTCGGGTATCCTCCTCCCCGTTCTTCCTCCTCTTATTCTCCTCCTCCTTGTCCCCCTCGCCCGAGAACCATTGACACAACGAGCTGTGGACATACACTTTCGACGGCGGCGCCTCCGGCGCCGACTCTGCCGGCTCTCGCGCGCCTTGGGATGGGGGTCCAGAGCCGGCCCAAGAAGTCCGCGCCGGCCCCTGACAGCCTGGCTGCATGCCTTCGCGCAGTTCTGTTTTTTTGATTCTGCTCCCGCCGGCCCATCCTCCCAGGCTCGCCACGAGGCTGCATCGAATCAGGAACGTGTCTTCTCCTGACGAACCAACAACACACACCTATACCCATAGGGGGATCGGAGAGGGCTATGGGTGCGTGTTGTCGGATGGGGGTCCCCGCTCGAACGGGAGCGTTCCCCAGGGTCCGACAACCCGCACCCATACCCATAGCCAGTCCTCCTCCCAACGACCTCCCTGTGGGTATGGGTGTGTGTTGTTCGTTCGTCATTCTCCTGTGTCGTGTCTACACGTGGCGCCGCGCAAAGGGGGGGGGGGGCATCCGCACGCGCCTCGACGCGCCGATGTCCCTCTGCGCGTCGGACCTGCACCGGTCGCGGACATCCTACCGCCCGCGCGCGCGGTGTCGCGCACGACGTCGTGCTCTGGCCTCAGCTCGGGGCGGTCGTGTTGCGCTCCACCCCTATTGGGCAATGGCAGCCGCGAGGTGCGCCCCTGCGCGGGCGAGGGAGATGCCATCTCCTCCTCGGCGGAAGGCCGGCGGATCCGCCACGTGCGGCCTAATGGGCTGACAGTGCTGAGGGCGTCACGGAGTCCATCCGACGTGCCAATTCGGCCACGCCTCCCTCGCAGGCACCAACAAGAACGTCCAATCCTCCCCTCCCCTCCCCTTCACCATCCTCCTGACGCGTCCCCCTTCCTTTTCCCTTTGCTCTTCCTTCCATTGCCTGTTTCCCGCTTCCCTGCCCGCTCCTTCTTCCTTTCCCCCCTTTCCCTGCCCCCCATTTCCCCCCTCCCCTCCCCTTGCCCCTTCTATTTTTTGCCCCTCTCCTTCCCCTCCCCCATCTCCGCTCCCCCTTCCCCCTCCCCTTCCCCCTCTCCTTTTCCTCTCCTTCCCCTCTCTCTCCTTCCCCTCTCCCCCTCTCCTCTCCCCCTCTCCTTCCCCCTCTCCGCCCGCCACCCGGTTCCCGAGACTCCGCGGCGAGCGCGGTGGCAGTGTTGCGCGGCTCCCGGTCGAGTAGTGGACGCCGGGTCGGCGGCCGACGGCCCATGGGCCAGGGCCTGCAGGGTTCGGTGGCTTGCAGCACGGGTCGCCCTCTCCAGGGAGAGAGGATAGGGGGGCCACATGCGAACCCTACCCCTACCCCCCACGATTTCTGAGGGGGCGGGTGGGGTTCACTTCGTTCGGGAGCTCTCGAGCGAAGCGAACCCCACCCTCCCCCTGAGAAATCGTGGGGGGTAGGGGTAGGGTTCGCATGTGGTCCCCGAGAGGAGAAATGAGGGGAGGCCGCGAAGAAGTGGGAGCCTGGGGAGGGGAGGAGGAGGAGGAGGAGGAGGAGGAGGAGGAGGAGGAGGAGGAGGAGGAGGAGGAGGAGGAGGAGGAGGAGGAGGAGGAGAGTGGGCCGGCGGGAGGAGGACATACGAGGGGAAGGAGGAGGACGGCGAGCCCCTCCTCGCCTCCCAAGAAGCGGGGTACAAGGAGCCCGTCGTAACAAACGATGCTTTGAGTGTCAGGCAAAGCGCTGATGCACCAGAAGAAAGGTACTCCAGATTTCGTAATAAAAGGGAGGGGGTCTGGACCCTCCAAGACAAGCCATTTCAGACCTCCCCCGTGGGAAAACCATCCAAAACATCGTCCCCAGACCCCCCAGGCCCTCCAAGATTGCCTGGAAGAGACCCCCCCCCCCCGAAATGAGACCCCCCTCCCTTTCTTACGAAATCTGGAGTACTGGCTCCGCCCTCCCCCCTTTCGCCCGCGCCAGCGGCGCGCAAAGGGGGTCGCCTCGAGAGGTCGAAGCGACTCGTGCTCAGACCGCGGACGCCTCGCCTGGAGATCTGGCGGCGAGTCGGGCTCTCAGACGTATCGCTGCTGTCGTTGGGACCCATGGCATCCTTGCTGCCGGTGCCGCTGCTCGGGCATCCGCCACGCCCTCCCGGCCGCACGCCGCGGAGGTGCCTGTCCCTTCCGAGGGCACGCTGGCCCGCTCTGGCTGTGCGGCCACGCGGAGCCGCCCGCGGCCGCCGCCCCCCCCCCTCCCCCTCCCAACCCCCCCCTCCCCCCCCTCCCTCCATTCCCCCCCTCCCCCCCCCCCTCCTCCCCCCCTCCCCCCCTCCTCCCCCCCCCCCCTCTGCGCCCTCCTCCTACCCCCCCCTCCTCCCCCCTCCCTCCCACCCCCCCCCTCCCTTTCCCCAACTGGCGCCCCTCCACCGGCCAGGTCAGGGGGCGCGCCTGTGTCGCGGCTGGGGCCCGGGCTCGCGACGTGGCCCGTGAGCGGGGGCGGTCAGGAGAGGGGGGTGGTGACGGGGGGAGAAGGGGTCCACCATGGCCAGGGCCACGACGGCTCCCCAGAGTTCTTCCCGCCTCCTCTTTGGCCTTATAAGGCGTCCCCCGGTCCCGCCCGTCCGCGCACGTGCCTCGGCCCATGCTGTGCACCCCCCGCCCCTTGCACGCCCCCCCCCTCTTGAACGCCCCCCGACTGTCGTGGCTGGCCCGTGCTCGCGACGTGGCCGTGGGTTGGCCCAGGTCAGCGCTGACTGCAGGAGGAGGAGGAGGAGGACGAGGAGGAGGAGGAGGAGGAGGAGGAGGAGGAGGGAAGAAGGATGGGTTGGCCCAGGTCAGCGTTGATTGCAGGAGGGGAGGAAGGAGGAGGAGGAGGAGAAGGAAGATGGGTTGGCCCAGGCAGCGCTGAGGAGGAGGAGAAGAGGAGGAAGATGGATGAGGTAGGAGGGAGAGGTTAGGTAGGACAGATTGGCGCTGCCCGGGCTGCCGCAACCTTCCTCCCCCCCCTCTCTCACCTCACCCCCCCAACCCACCCCAACGAACTCACACCCCCACCCACTATGCTTCCCAACCCTCAAACACCTCTGACAAACCCAAAACCCCTCAACGACCCCTTTCGCAGTGGCCAGGCAGAGCAGTGCGAGGCAGCGCAGCAGTGATCGCAGGGGGGCTATCGCAGGCGCACTGGGAGGAGGCCAGGCGCGGGCTGCTGCTGCAGCACCACCAGCAGGAACCGTCCCATGGCAGAGCGGCGAGGCGGCAGGCAGAGGCGGTAGGTTAGTCCTCCTCACTCCTCTCCACCTCCACCTCCTCCCTCCATCCTCCTCCCTCCTCCACCTCCTTTTTTCTCCTCCTCTTCTCTTTTCCTCCTCCTCCTACTCCTACTTTTTCTCCTCCTTTCTCCTCTTACTCCTCCTGCGCCTCCCCTCCTCTCTGCTCCTCCTCCTCCTCCTCCTCCTCCTCCTCCTCCTCCTCCTCCTCCTCCACTGGTTCCTCTGGTTCCCAAAGGTCGTGGCCACGTCGTCCTCCTCCCCCTCCTCGCCCTCCCCGCTGGCCGACCACGGCCCCGGGGGTGGAGCCGTCCAGGCTGGGGGGAAGGCGAGGGTCCGGCACGGGAGGATGCCATGGGACAGCGGAGCAGGAGACCCAGACCCCCTCGAGTTATGAAAAAATCACGACGGGAAGTTTTTCACTATTTTTGGCCTTTGGGGGCCCTTACCGGCCCTGGGGACCGTCAAAAAACGACTCAGGACGAAAAACTGGTCCCGGGGAATGGGTCGAGACCTCGGGGGGTCGACGTCATGAAAAAATCATGACGTCGGGGGTCTGGGGAGGAGCAAGAGGTGGCCGGTCCCTTTGTGGGGCCCGCAAACGGCAGGGCCGTTTTTTCACCGTTTCCAAACAAATGCCCCTTGAAAATGGAAACGGCGAAACACCGGCGACCAGAAACGGCGAAAAAACGGCTCCAGGATTGGAACCGGAGCCGGAACCGGTCAAAAAACGGCGACGCGACCGGTAAAAAAACGGCGTCGGAACCAGCAAACAAACGGAAAAACGGAACCGATGAAAAAACGGCCCTGTCGTTTCCAGGGCCCATTGAGGCCGGTCCCCTCCCACCCGCCCCCCGCGCGCCTGCGGAGGAGCTCGACGGGCTGATCAACGACCGGCAGAAGCGAAGAGACGAGGCGGCAGCTCCGCATCCGTCTCGCCGTCTCTGGCCGCGCGCTCGCTCGCATCTCTCGTGGCGGATCTGCCACGCTGCTCTCCGTCACTGGACTCCCGAGCTGCTCTGTGGGCCGATCGCCGCGAGCGGGGGGTGCCTGCAGGTGCGTCGCCTCCGGGCCCGACCTGTTTCGGTCGCCCGTTTTCATCAGAATCGCCATAGCTGGGTCCTTCCAGAAAAGGCCTCCTACTCGAGGGGCGATCTCTGGCCCTTCCCCCCGAAACGGACGCCCCGCGGCATGCTGAGAGAACCAGCGCGGGGACGGCTCCGCAGGCAGAAGCCCGCGACAGGCTAGCGGAAGCTGGCAAAAGTAGATGCTTCGCTCCCGAAAGGGATCAGCGCCTGGGTCCTCAGAGTTACCGGAGCAGGTTATTCAGATTCTCTCCTCACATAGACAGACTGGTTCTGTCATCGTCGAGCAATAGACAGACTGGTTCTGTCATCGTCGAGCAGAATCCTTGCGCGAGGACGCTTCGCAGCTTGGCGGTGATCGCCGCCTTTGCATCGAGGTTGCGGTGGGTCTCCAGAAGTCTCCGAGATGGACATCAGCTGTGTGTCCAGCAGGCGCGCCCCTGATCCGTCGCGTCTCAGAGCTGCCAGCGGCCTCCAGGTCGGGAGGAGAAACGTACTTTATTAGTGAATTTAATTGGCTTCAGGGTTTTAACAAGTGGTCGCAGCCACGCAGAGGGCGTGCGTAGCGGCGCCCCAGATGCTCGGTCTCCAGTACTTCTGCGTGGCGGCGCCCCCGCAGGCACGCAGAGGGCACGCGTGGCGACGGGGGCGTCGCCACGCAGAGCTTCTAAAGACCAAGCATTTTGAAAACCAGCTGTTCCCACTACTAAAGTACTACAGGTTCGTGTGGCGTCGACGCAGCGGCGGCCCCGCCACGGGCGTTCAAGGTTGAGAGCGCTGCTAGTGGCCCAGAATCGCCGCCTGTAGGGAACGACCTGGCGATCGAAGAGCTGCCGATCGACCCAAGGTTGAACGATCCGCTTTTTGGTCGGTCGCGTCCGCTAGCGAAGGCGCAAGCGGAGTCAGGAGCGCTACGGGTCACGACAGCGGCCTAACGAGCAGCTGAACGCGCCGCGAGCCGGCCGGCCCACGCATGCAGCAGCGGCTGACTGCGCGGGAGGAGCGGCAAGCTGGGGGCGTCCAGGGTGCTCGTGCACTTGCAACACGGCAAAATGCTGGTGAATTCAAGAGTGCCGAGTGCAGATTGAACGATCCGCGCGGTGTCAGAAATCAACGCGCAGGTCGTCGCAACACGAATCTGCCGCAGACGCGCGACAGGGTCCGGAGTCGGTTTTCGCGGGGGTCCTGGCGGGGATCGTGATCTCCCAACCTACTTTAGCCTTGATCACCAGAAAGAATTTCGAGCACCAAGAACGTACCGAAACGTGAAGGTTTTCACGTGTCGGACCCTGGGAGGCGATACTCGTTCGATACTGTTTCGGTACTCTTCTGGGTGCTCGAGATTATTCCTGGGATGTGGTCCTTCAGTGCGATGGGAGCAGCAGAGGGCTGGCAGCGAGGAGGGCTTGCCCAGCCGAGGCGCGCGCAAGCGGTGCTGCAGAGCAGCATAGTGCGTCGGTGCGTGGCCAGGCACTCCAGGAGGGGCCTCCGCGGACGCATCTATAGTGCTGTGAGTCCCGGCAGTTGAACAGGCGGGGCCCTCCCGTCCCCTCTCAGCGGGGGAGAGGGGGACAGCGCATTCGGCGGCGAGCGAACTGGTACAGTCGGGGCCCTGAAGAAGGAACCCTTTTCGTTGGGAAGGGGCTCCGCGTTCCTGAAGTGTTGCACAGCTTGCCTCAGGCTTTCCTTATGTTTTCGATCGGAGATCGAAGGTTAACTTATGGGAAAAAGGGGCCTCGTTCCTTATTTTGGGCTCCTTAGGTCAAGGCCCCGACTGTGTGCTTCTCCACGGCTGCGGCGGTTGCGGAGCTGCGGCAGTTCAGCTCCTGATGCCTGCTAGCGCTCGCATCGTATCAAGAGACGTGGCTCTGCCGATCTCGGGCCGCTCAGGCATTTTTGTTAGTGTTGGTCTCAGCGTGTTTTTTTGGGGGGGGGACTCACACTGGCCGGAGTCGGAGGATGGGCCTCCCTACCTTGGCGGAGCCTGCTGAATGGACCCTGGCACATCGTGGGAGAACGGATGGGTGCGCCACGTCCTGTTCTCGCTACCTACCAAACCACCCCAACCCAACCCGAAGACCCGAATTTCGGGTTGGGGGGGGTACGAGCTTCATGTCTGTTTTCTCAACGTTCCCCGACCCCCCCCCAACTGGAAATGGAGGGCAAATTGGGGCCTTCGGGTTGGGTTGGGGTGGTTTGGCGGGCGGTGATGTTCTTTGTTCAGTGAGCTCGGCAGATAGCGTTCCGTGAACGTCAGTGTTACGCAGGCCAGACGAGGCTATGGACGTTTCGTTGCGGTGGTTGATTTTGGATGAGGGGGTGGATGCTGAGAGGCTGCTGAGTATGGCCCTTGCTGGATAAGCGTGCCCACCTGGCTTAGCAGCGCATTTGCCTTCACTTCGCGCCGAGTCGTCTGCCCTGCAGGGTGGGTGGGGGTTGCGCGTCGTCACGGCTGGCCGCTGCTCAAGTCATCTGCCAGGAGCGTGCTGCACCTACGAGGGTCAGAGCACAAACTCCGAAGGGATTGCGTCGCCCATGAGGGAGATAGTAGACAAATCACGGTCAGTGGCTTCGCCATCATGAGCGCTTGCGTATCGTTTCGCAGTGAGCGGCATTTGTAGAAACGTTACGGGCCCGACACAAACACATTCAAACACACACACACACACACACACACACACGCACGCACGCACACACACATACGTTCACAAACACACACACACAAACACAAGCACACACACACACACACACACACGCGCACGCACGCACGCACGCACGCACGCACGCACGCACGCACACACACACGCACACACACACACACACTCACTCACACTCACACTCACACTCTCACACACACACACACACGCACACACACACACACGCTGTTCATCCGCCACCGCAGTGGGTTATTACAGGGCCCTCGGTGTTCGGGATGCGACGCCTATGATGTAACAATTCGCACTGGGGCTCAACGTCTAACGCACGCACACGCGTGCGTTCACACTAGCCGTGGCACAGCGCGATGTCGGGTCTGTCGCAGCGCGTGCTGCCAGGTAGGTGCAACCTTCTAGCCACAGTCGCTTACGGGGAGAGATGTGCACCTCCGGCCGTGCCCCTGGTGAGCTTTCCCATCGCGGTTAGAGACCCTCATTCGCCGTCCCTCCGCAGTCGTATTGCCCCTGTTGTCGCTGACGCGACTCTGGTCATGTGCCCGAGAGCTTGCTCGAGAGGATGCTTGTGACTCTTGCCGCCCGAGTTGGTAGAGCGGGGCCCCTCCGCCACCCCGTGGAAATTCTCGACGAAGTGCGGCTGTTTGAACAGGTACGGGCGCCTCAAAATCTCAACGCGCCCACTCAAGCAGCAGGACCAGCAATGATGATGATTAGATTGATGATGAGGAGGAGGGGGAGGAGTAGGAGCAAGGGCTCCCTCGAGGGCGCGAAGTTATTCGCGCTTCGCGGTCCTCGTTCCTTCTCCCCCTCCTCCTCGTCCTCCTTTTCTCCCTTTGGGGGGGCGGCGCGAGAGCGCGAAGTTATTCGCGCTTCGCGCTTCGCGGAGCGCGAAGCGCGAAGTTGGGAGCCCTAGAGGAGGAGGAGGAGGAGGAATTGGAGGAGGAGGAGGAGAAGTTGGAGGAGGAGGAGTGCCTGCTGCGAGGCGCACAGCACGGTGGAGGCGGTCCTGCGACAATGGACCACTGGCAACACCCATGACCTTGTCAAGACGGTCTGCCTGGGAAGTTTTGTCGTCGGCGTCGGCTTTGGTACCTTGTCTCCTCCTGTCCTATCGAATGCGTCTCCTTTTGTTTGTCTCGTCTTGTCCTGCCATCTGCGCCTCCATAGATTTTCTCTTCCTGTCATGCCGCTTGCGCATCCCTCTTTTGTCTCTTACTGTCATGCCGCTTGCGCCTCCCTTGTTAGTCTCGCCCCATCCTGCCGTTGCGCCTACCTCGGTTTTCTCCTCTATCTTGTCTCCTCCTGCCTTGCCGCGTGCTTCCGTCTAACTCCTGACGTCTCCATTCCTCTTGTCTTGCGTCTTGCGCTTCCATGTCGAAACGTTAACGACCTTCGCACCAGGGAGGCACACGTGCCAGTCGTCAATGCGACCAAGCAGCTGTGCGTGAGTCATCAAGACGTGCATCGGGCACCACTCTGGCACTATGGCGAAGGCGGGCGTACTGTACACAGATCGACGGTATAAGATTTAAGTGTATGGGCATGCATCTGAAGTTACAGGTGTGGGTCATCAGGAATTCACATCCTTACGTATACATATATGAATATGTCTGTATGCACACCCGCATGCAACAACTACATGACATACAGATTAGGGCCAGGAGCAGAGCGAAGGTAACTGTGGGCTTGATGTCGATTATGCCAGGGGTAGCGGCGGTGACAGATACGTGGATTGGTGAGAACCGTGGGGGCAAGTAGGACGATGGTGTCATGGTGTGTGCGTGTTTGCGTGCGTGTATGTGCGTGTATGTGTGTGTGTCTGTGTGCGCGTCTGTGCGTGTGTGTGTGTGTGTCTCTGTGTGTGCGTGTGTCTGTGTGAAGTGTTTGTGTGTGTGTTGGGGGGAGGGGGGTGTTTCGGTGGTGGGTGGGTGGGTGTGCGTGCGCGCTTTGGACGTGGTGCGGGTGGCCTCGGGAAAGCTCCTCACATCATCAGCTTGGGCTCCCAAAGAGCAAGGTGCCTCGTCTGGTGTGCATGGTCATCAGCGACTCGTTGCGCGTATGCATACGGGTTGCCTGCCTGAATGCTTTTTGTTGATGGTGGGGAGGCGGTGCTGCCTTGTCGAGGAGTTGGGCAGCAGCGGCGCGACGTACTGCTCTCCCTTCCCCCTTCCCCACGGAGAGGGAGAAAAGGATGGAGGGAAGGGCAGGGGTCTCACTCCTCCCTTCCCCCCTTCCCTCCCTCCCCCTCCTCCCCCTCCCTCTCTCCCTCCCCTCCCTTCTCCTTCTGCTCCTCCTTCTCCTCTTTCTCGCATTTTGAGGGCGGCTTGTCGCTGCGGGCGCTGGGCTGGGCCACTGGTGCGCAGCAGTGGAGGGCAGGCGCGGCGACGGAGGCAAGGACCGAGGCTGTTCGCGAGAGGAGCTTCAGGGAGGATGAGGACGACGACGACGACGACGACGACGACGACGAGGGTACGTGCGGATGCGAACGGGCACTGTAGGAGGGATGGTGAGAATCAGGAGGACGAGGAGGAGGAGAAGGAGGAGGACGAGGACGGGATGGTAAGAATCAGGATCACGATGCGTTCGCCTGCCTGCCGGCGCGCGCACAGCGGCTCGACACGCTGGCCCCGCGTCAAGGAGAAAAAAAAAAGGAGGAGGAGGAGGAGGAAAAAGGAGGGCGAGAATGATGATCGAGGAGGGAGGGGTGGAGGAGGAGGAGGAGGAGAAGGAGGAGGAGGAGGAGGAGAAGGAGGAGGAGGAGGAGGAGCAGGAGGAGGAGGAGCAGGAGGAGGAGCATCAGGAGGAGGAGGAGCAGGAGGAGGAGGCCCCCGCGGCAGAGGTCTTCGTGGGCTGGCTCCGGCTCGCGCAGCTGCACCAGAAGGTCCGGGCCGTGGCGCTGCAGGCGGAGCGCGGCGCCTGGCGCGGCAGCGGGAGGCGCCCTGCGGGCCGGGCCGGGCGGGGGCCGGAGCCTCGAGCGGCGGCCACAGGGGGGAAGGGCGCGCTGCAGTTCATTGCCAGCCTCGAGCGTATCCCTATCCCTAAGATTGGCACGCCAAGAGGCGATGACACTAATCTTGGGGGTTCGCCCTCAAAAGAGAGAAGGGGATCCCTAAGATGGGCATCGTGGTGAGGAGGTGCCCAGCATAGGGATAGGGATATGCTCCAGGCTGGTAAGTTCGGCCACGCGCAGAGGGGGGTGGGGAGAGGGGGGAGGGCTTCTCAGAAGCACCCCTGCTTCTCAGAAGGCGCGGGCCTCATCCATAGATGCAGGGCCGGCGCCTTCTAAGAAGCAGCCTCCTTCGAAGCCGTCCCCCTTCGATCCACCCCCTTGTGCGCGCCGCCAAGCAGTCAACCCGCGTAGTAAGGATGAGCAACTTTACCCAGAGCGTGAGTTGCCTACCTCGCTTTCGCTCCCAGGAAAGGCCAAGTCACACCACGCGCCTCCCCGTCGAGCGGCCCGACCAGAGCAGGCCACAGCTTGGCATCGCTTGGTACCTCTTGGAAGCGAGGGTGGTCAAAAGCGAGGTAGGTTTGTTTGCCCCCTATTTCCCAAGGCTGCCCTTTGCATCCTTCTCCTTCGGCTCATCCTCGGCCGCTCTCGTTGTCCGCGCCCCGCCCGCAAAGCGTCGGATTGTCATCGAGGGGGGAGGAGGGGAGGAGGGGAGGGGAGCAGGGAAGAAGCGGAGGAGGGGCACGAGTAGACCCAGGACGCAGCCACGATGCTGCAACGCTTAAGGCGGGCCTGTCCCCTCTACAGGGGGGATATCCACAAATAGTCCAAAAATAGTCTGGGGAATATTTTTTTGGAGTATTTGTTCCCTTTCTGGAGTATTTTTTGAGTGGTTCTTATTTTTCGCCGAAATCCCCCTGTAGGGGGGCACGCCCGACTCAAGAGGAAACTCAGGACGCCGCCACGATGCTGCAGCGCGCAATGCCCTCCCCAGCTCCCCCCTCGCGCGTCCCCGCGATCATTCAGGAGTGGAAAAAACACACAGACACAATTATTCGTCGATTCCCAGAACATATGGGAAAATATGGGAATTGGGCGGATAGAAAAACCCAGCACATATGGGAAAATAAGGTGGATATCTTTATGTGTGTGTATTTATTTGTGTGTCCCAGGGCCCCTTTCAATCATTCCCCCCCGCTGCGAGAAGCGCAACGCCCCGTTGGCCTGCCATTCAGGCGAGAGAGCCTCATCTGGAGCGCCCGCGGTCTTTCTTTAAATTGTTGACGCTTCGCGTATCCCCACCAGCCCATCCAGAAACGATGCTCAGGGGAGTTGAGGTGATCAGGGAAGTCGGGGAGCATGCAGAATAACAAAGGGCGGGGGAAGCTGTCACAGACCCCGAGAGGGGGAGGATGGAAGAGGAGTCGTCGTCGTCGTCGTCGTCGTCGGAGGAGGAGGAGGAGGAGGAGGGGGGGGAGAGGAGGAGGAGGAGGAGGAGGAGGAGGACGGAGAAGGAGGAAGAATCGGAGGAGGAGGAGGAGGAGGGGAAGGAGCTTCTTGGGGGTCTTTTGAGGGCCTCTTGGAGGGCTTTTTGGGCGCCTTGGGGCATCTTGGGCGCCTCTTGGGACCCTCTTGAGGCGCTCTGGGGAGCCTTCGGGGCGCTTTTGGGGCCATCTTGGAGGGAGTCGATCAAACAAGAGGGGGGGTTTAATTAGCGCCCCCCCTCGGAAGCCCCTAAAATCGCCTCTTGGACCCCTCTTGGAACGCTCTTGGAGTGCTCTTGGGCGCTCTTGGGGCCGTCTTGGGGCTCTTTTGGGGCTCTCTTGGGGCCCTCTTGGGCCATCTTGGAGCCATCTCCAGGCCTCGGATAGCCATCGGAAGCGAAAAGGCGAGAAAGCAAAAATCATTGATTTTCCTTAGGTTTTGGGACGATTTTGGCCTCTTCGGGGCCTCCTTGGGGAGCTGTTTGGCCACTTGGAGTTATCTTGGGGCCGTCTTTGGGCTTCTTGGAACCATCTTAGGAGCCATCGTGAGCGATCTTGCGCTATCTTGAGCCATCTTGGAGCTCATCTTGGGTTCTCTGAGGCGCTCTTGGAGCCGTCTTGGGCCATCTTGGACGCTCTAACTACCCGCGGCCCCCCCCGTCCAGGTCCAGGGGAGGGGGTAGGGGGAGGGGTAAACCCCTCCCCAAGGGGGAAGAGGGAGGGGTGGAAGAGGATCTGCTCTAGACCACCTACGCCCAGTGGGCTGGTGGGATT